TGTCGATGTCCCAATATTTCTGGACCTGACTGTATTTTGTTATCACTAGAATATATCACTTCATTTAGGCAGATGTGTCATACTTCTTTCCACCACCCAAAAATGCAAGGCAAGTTGCTGTAAAAAAAAAATAATAATAATAGGGACTCAAAATTATTTGGAATGTAGTTACATACTTAAACTGGCTTGCTGATATTCGTATCCTCTCCATCTCTCACCAATCATATCTTCTCCTACATTAAAAGAAAATACAGGATTATGTAACAATGCTCAGAATAATGGAGACAACAGAGTGCACTTATAATATTAAGTCACTATAGTAATCATCCCCAAGTAGGCAACATGGGACTCAAGGATGCCACTGTGCCCACAGACATTTGCCTTGATGTCTACCAGGTTCCTGACCCACTTGATTTTAAAAAAATATTTTTTAATGAACATAATTAAATAAGAACTAGCATATTGCAAAGCAGAGCACCAGCCTCTAGCAACAATATTACTGAGCCCTACAGAGCTGTCACTACAATGATAAAAACCCTCATAAGAATTTCTTCTTACTTGTGACACCTTCACATAATTTCATACATGTTTCTTCCCTCTCAAAATTATTTTTGTTGCCTTCACAGCCTCCGTAGGTGAAGCGGCCACACTTCTCAGTCAAAGGGTTGTAGTACCAGCGAGGTATACTTTCTTCACATGGCCCCGTGTCTGGCATATCTACACAGTAACCTGTGTAGAAAGGAACAAGGAGTATTGTTAGAATTGGGAATCCAGTTAATTAATATCTATTGACCTATTATTTAAGCATGTCAAATACTTGATAAAGCCACTGACACTTCGAGAATTGGCCTACTGCCTATTTAGCAGAGCTAGTTTTTTTTTAAAGCTACCAAATGTCATACAGGTAGTCCTCAACCTACGACCATTCATTCAGTGACCGTTCAAAGTTACAACAGTGCTGAACGAATGGGGGTTACGACTGGTCCTTGGAGTTCCAGCCGTCCCAGCAACCCCATGGTCACGTGATTGCGATTTGGGTGTTTGGTAACTGGTTTGCACTTATGACCAATTGCAACACCCCATGATCAAGTGATTGCCATTTCCCCCAGAAAGTCAATGGGGAAGCCAGCAGGGAAGGTCACAAGTCACTGGGGTAAGTCTCCCCCACTCACATACCCTCCCTTAGCCCCTCTGCACTCACGCCGTGCTGGCCACACATGGACCCCTACACCCCTACCTGAACCCATGCCTCTCGTGCACCCCCTCACACCCCCTCCCCAACCCACACCCCTCTTGCACTCTTCCCAACCCAAGCCATGCCTTTTGCACACCTCCGCACACCCTTCCTGACCCTCCCTCGCATTGTCACACACCGTCCCTGATCCTTCCCCATGCGTACCCCCTTGCTCTCCCCCCCATCCAGTAGCAGCCAGTTACCTGCCTGTCAGCTTCCCCACTGACTGGTTGTGGGAAGCCAGCAGGAAGTTCCCTTGCCTAACAACCGTGAGATTCAGTTATTGATGGCAACAGAGACTGCAGGGATTGCTGTCGCTTTATGACCACATCACTTATCGATGGAAATTCCAGTCCCAATTGCTATTATAAGTCTATTATTATTATTATTATTATTATTATTA